TACTATAATAGTTTTTTCCAGTCCCCTGCTTTTTCTTTTTAATCCTTCACACATATTTTTGATAAATCTTACTTTAATACTTACAAACTACATATTTCCTTATACGTCTTTTCTTTTTTCATGTTTATTTTTTCTTCAGCATTAATTTAATATTTCGGCATTTGTATAAAGAGACCAAGCCATCTAGCTCTTTGGGTTTGAATGTTTGCCGTAATTATTGATTTTCATACATCCTTATTATTTTTTTATTCGTTCGTATTCGTTCGGAAAATATTCTCTGCCATATTGTATTCATTCAAAGATCGTTTATTTTCAGATTCCTACTGCCTTTTTTTCCTGATGGTTCATAAAACGTGTTTCTATGGCGTACATCACCGTGGTCTGATTTCTATCTCGTACACTCGCAGTTTATCTGATCTTGACACATTTTTTAAATTAAGTATTGAATAAATGGCAGCCTCTGCTGCTTTCATTTGGATATATTTGCTATTTTTTGAATTTTCTTTTCTCTAATTTCCATATATTGCGTTTTTGTTTGGTTTATTGTTAGTCTGTATCTTTCGGCTTCTCCTTAAAATTTCTGGAAACACGAGAAAAACGAAATTATATAAAAGGTATATATTCTCTAAAAATGCCCTTTCGGGTTACATCAGAGAAAGTTTTCGGACTAATAAGTTCATCATTAGTGCAGTTACCAGAAATAAATGAGTCAACCCACTAAATATGTAAGTAAAAACTATTTAAATGTAAAAATTATTAATTAATATATATTTGTTGATAAATTTCAATGATCTTTGATATATGATATATGATTATATGACAGAATACTGTATGCACTTTAAGAGTCGTGTTAAAAGTTAAAGGACAACTTCTAAGACGTTCCTGTCTTTTAAAAAGCCTTAATAACCATTCATATCTAGAAGAATCCAATATTTACAGCGATCATTGGTTTCGTTAGGTGTAAGTCATAAAGTTGGAAGTGTGAAACATTCGAGTAGACTCAGAAAGATCTCCACTAAAACAGACTTACGTACGAATGATTTATCAAGTCACTGAAAAGGCGCAAATCGCATTATTCATTAGACGAAACTAGCCGTCTGTGTTTGGCTAAAGGTCTTAATATTGATAAACTGGCTTTCACTCACAATGAAAATAATGTCTCATACGAAACGTTTAGATTACATTTCAACATTTTGAGTTTTAAAGACCCTACGGAAAATAATTGCAGTATATGCGATTTTAAATGCTTCTTTAACCAATACTGGAGTTAGAACAGAAATTGCATTTAAAAAAAGCTGATAAAGGCTATAGCGGGATAAAAGGGTAAAATCTGCACCCGGCTAAATTTCTATTTGGGCTAGGGTTATTAAAAGTACATACTAAGAGCCTTTAGCCAAATTTTAAGCTCTCTAGGTAGCCCCAGGATCTTCTATAGCAAAAAAAGTGTTTTTTTTTTGGAAATAATTTTTCCCGGACGATCCCTTGCTTTCAAAAAATCTAAACAAATTGACAATCATCAATTTTTAAAAAAAAATTTAGGTTATGTAGGTAATTTTTGGCAAATTTCTAAATTATGATTTTTTGTTTTTTTTTTGTCTTCTGAATAACGGGGTTCGTATTTTCATTTGTACGCAAATCCTCAAAATTCGAAATACCTATTTTTTATATTTTTTGGACTCCCCCAAGGCAGTATTTTAAGTCAAGTTCTGTTTTATTGCATTCAATGGATGCCAGTATTAAACTCGTAAAAGTATTATATTTACTGATATACACTGATATAAAAATTGTCGTAGAGAGACTAAAAAATATAAGTGCGTTCGCGAAGATACAGCAATAAAAAATAATAATTAAGAAGAGTAAAATGTCTATAGAGGCTCAACTCCTGAAAAATCACTATCAGACTCAGAATTATCATCACTGAAATCACTACTACTGTCTTCGTCTGTAATGATTATTTCATCAAAAACTAAATCTAAAACAGGTTCTTTTTCCCTAGAAAATTGTTCGAAACTTTTAGCGTGTTACACCCTTTTTTTCACTCTTCATTTGAAAATGTTTGAAAAAATTCATCGCAAAAACGATCCACAGAACTAAACTTAAAGTCAACGTTTTTATCGGCCACGTATTTTTTAAGAGCTGCTCATACTAACTCTATCGGGTTGAGATCTGGATGATACAGAAGCAGCGAATACCGAATGATCACTATTACCCAGTATTCTGTCAATTTCATAAACCTTCAATCTGGGTTTATGGATTTGTACAATGCTGTAAAGATCTACTTTTAACATATATTCTGAAAAAGGCAATTGCGTTGTCTTAGCCACTCTTTCATTACATTTTTCGTTGAACTCATATTAGGACACTTTTCAACTTACACGTTGTGATAAGAAGCATTGTCAACAACCAGTACACTACGTGGAGGAAGATTGGGAATAAGCATTTCCCTATAATTTTCGTAATTCATTTCACTGTGGTAGTCACCTGTTTTTATGTTTGATTTAAATTTCAAATAAGCATTTTTCGCAAAACCCTTTTCAGCACCTGCATCTGTTATGAGTCTGTTATCAGTCGCTTCAACTTTTCGAGTGAGTATAGGAAGAATCAATGTAGTTTTCGTTAATGTTTATGATCGGACGCTTCTCTTCTCGGTATGTTTTAATATCTCGAAGAAAGTTGCGTCTCAACTGTTGGATTTCCGGTTTTTCCATTAAAAGTTTTTTAATAGCTTTTGTTTATCTCCAACGATATCCCTCATTGCTTTTCTCAATGATTAACGCGAACCATTGTAGTTGTACTCAGTGGCAAATTTTCTATGTACTCTTCGTGTTGGAACGTACAAGTTGGAACTTGTTTTTCGGTAGTACAAAAATTAATAATAAATCGACGAAACACTCCTTTGTCGCACTTATCCAACTTAGATTTTAAAGCCGACTTATTTCTTTTTTTTTATTTGGATTACTAAATGTTGATGCAGTACCATCTTCGATGCACTTCTTTTCCTCCGAAATGGCTTGTATGGCGGATAACTTACACCTGTTGCTCTTACAACACGTTTTTGCAGTGGTTTTAACTCTATTAGAGGTACGTTGTCCTTTGCTTCTTGTTGAATAAAATGCATAACATTTGCTATAATTTCTCGTCTTTGACCGGACAAAACTTTTAGATTTAATTTTGATTTAAATTCCATTTTACGTCACTGGGACTCACTGTTCTTTAAGAAAACTCTGCCGCAGACTGTACCGGCCGAACTTTACACGTTGAATTTTTGGCTTCGACTGGTATATTTTCGATAAATTTAGTGCGCATCAGATGAGCGTGGCGATTGTAAGATTTTCAAACTTCTTCCTATGTTTGACAAATAATACTTTAGGTACATCGAGTTTGATTTGGTAAAACCGATTTTAGAATTTGTTCATCGTTTGTACACATTTCTAATTTAGTTTCAATATCCTGTTTGGTTTCGAAAAGTGACCGAAAAGTTTCAAATAGAAAAAACTCAAGATAGTGACATTTTAAAGAAAAATGCCAATTTAAAAAAGTGGCAAAGTGAAAGTGAAAATGTTTAACAAAAAAACAGGATTAAAACTGAATATGTTACCATCGATACTATAGCGTACGATTGGTTTGGTAAAATGAGAAGTAAGAACATTCTATTATCTGGACCGATAATAAAAGATAGAGCTTTAGAGGCAGCAAAAAAACATAAAGCTTCCAATGGTTGGCTTGACAAGTTTTGCTAAATACATAATATTAAATTTATAGTAATTTCTGTAGAAGCTGCAAATGTTAACTTTGACAACATTTCAGAGTGGTAAAGAAAACTACCAAATTTATTAAGAGGCTATTTACCTGAAGATATACCTGCAAAGTGCACTGAAGGTAAGTTTGGTAAGCAAAGGTTGACCGTATTATTGTGTGCACATTTAAATGAGGGAAAACAAAAACCTTTGGTGATTGGTGAAAGTGAAAATTCTCGATGTACTAATTTTTTTTATGTTGATAAACTTCAAGTCGACTAATGCTACAACAAGAATGCCTGGATGACCAAAGAAATAATGAGACTGGCTGCACAAATTTGATGGAAAAATGCAATGTCAAAAAAAGAAAAATTATCTTATTCTTAGACAACGCAAGTAAATTTATTTTCCCATGTAAATCTACATAAGAAATTCTAAGGTCCCTTCTGCTCATTTTTGGCTCATTTTGTGATGAAGGCGTGTTCCTCGTCCCCGCCTCTCTCCAACGAGCTCTCTTACGTCACGATCCGATGAGCCGTAACGCCTCCACCACAAAATGAGCCAAAAATGAGCAGAATGGACCTTAGAATTATTTATGGAGATTTACATGAAAAAATGACCTGTTTTGCTCTCGTAGCTTTGGTGTCATTTTACTAACGCAGCATCCCATGTTGTCTGGAAGATGATTTGCCATTGCCAACCTTTTGCGAAAGTCATGTTGAGAAACATTTTACTACCTAGAGATTAATGCAGCCCTATTGACGAAAAATCCTAAAGTAAACTAAGCCAGTTATTTTAGTGATTTTAAAGAAAACGAACAGGAAAACGAGCGGCGATGAAGTAGAACTTTCTACAACTGTAAGTAATTTAAAAGATGCTTACCTAAAATTAGAAATATTTTTTATATATAAAGGCGGTGCAAGTCAAAAAAAGGCAGTGCGGTAAGTCAAAAAAATCTTATAATGTTCAAAACCAATAACAATCCAAAATTGATGATTTTTTAATAAGTAATACCTACGTTTGTTACATTATTATTATATTTGTTTTATTTGTGTATATGCTTATGCTAATATGTAGGAAAATATATAATTAAAGATGAAGCAAATCAAAACCTCTCTTTTAATTCAATTGATTAAGCGATAACTCTACACATCGGACATGGATACGTTTCACTGTATAATATTTAATATCTTAGATAAATTAGAAGTTATAATCAAATTTTAAAAATGCATTTATGTAAACAAATAATATAAGCCGACTTACCTATCATTACAATACATGGAACATAAAAAGATATACAACTAGACACAACAGCATATGTGGGAGTCAGATCTAGAGCACACGTTGGATAATTTTGACCTCCTGAGTTATAGACCAGCGGTTGAGGTGGCCTGTGTAGCTCTAACGATATTGGGACGAATGAAATTAAACCGGCTAATAACCAAATGGTAGCTATGGTACCTAAAGCTACTCTTCTGGTTACCCATCTGCCGTATCTGAAACAAAGGTTATTAAGAATTAACAAAACGGTTTATAATAATTAATATCTTAAATTAATCAAATGATATTAGTAAGGCGATATTTTTAAATATTTTCTTGTAAATTTTTACTCCTAGATTAATTTCCTTGTCCCAATTTCTCAGGAACTATGAGGACTAGTGCTTACCGCTACTAACCACAGCTTTATTAATTTTTCTTTTTATTTGTAACGTTATAAATGTCACATCTCTATTAATTTATATTTAAATATTTGTTTTATTTTAATTTCTTTATTAGTTTATTAATTTCTTTATCTTCAGATTAATTTTTACTATTTTTATTTAAAAAGGAGTTGGCGCCCTCTGTTTTTCTTTTCTTCTCCTGTCTTTATTTTCTCTCTTTTTCTGACCCTTAGAATAAATATTCGCTCTCTCTCTTTCTGTCCGGCAAACTAAATATTCTGTTCCGTGTTGACAGACAAGCTAGTTTCATGATATCCATAGCAACATCCTACGACATCTGTGCTAACTTCATTTAGTCTCCCACTTTCTGTCAAAACAACTTTTCTAACGTGGTGGGATTATTTTTTGCCTCTTTTTGAAATTTATAAAAAATTATTATAAGACTCATTTTATGGTCTACAAATTCTCTTGGGGTAAGTATTTTAATTGTGATATTTGTTTTATATTTCTGACAGCATTTCCAATATTTGTAACCTTACTTTCTTTCGAAAGCACATTTTTCTGATAAACGCATTAGGACTCTTTAACAGAATTTAACTAAGTAGTAACAATTAAATTTTATTTTATCATTTTCATACGTTATTTGTTCAATTGTAATTTTGTAAAATGGCAAGAAAATTAAACTCCTTTTGATGTGTCACTAATACAAACTGTTCCTTGTGTTTTAGTTTATTGGCTTTATTTGGCATATTGACAGCTTTATTGAATTTATTGAACTTATTGACAGCTTTATTAGGATTATTGGGTTTATTGACCACATCGACGTTCTATTGACCGTATCCATTTGAGGACTTAACAACCTAATCAAGACATACACCCACATGTGACTGCAGTTCTATAAAAACTACAACATTTAATTGGAGGACCTAACAGCTAGAACACACAAGCAGATAAAATAGTAAGTGATGCTGAATTAATGACTTTAGATTTGGAGAATGAAATGAACGATAAGCTGGAAGTTTTAGAAAACAGTAATCCGGACACACAAAATATTGTTTCATTTATTTTTTCTTTATTTCTCAGAAAAACAAAGATGGGGAAAGTGGTGACGACTTGGACCTGACTCAAAGTCAAAGTAGACTCCAAAAAGAGACCATACAATGGACGCTTGATGTTTCACACGTGAACTAAATCAATGAGTTTGGGGAAGAAACTACACTAAATGTACTCGAGACCATTGAAAGTAATACAGATTTATTCCTATACTTATTTCCTGATGAGCTCGTTAAACATATTGTTTTCCAAATTTATTTGTACGTTAAATAAAAAATGGTTGGAATTAATAATTTTGTTTTGTTTGTTTGCAACAACCTGTAAAGAATGCACTTTTTGTTTTTTTTTTCTTATTTGGTTTAGTGCATAGTGGTTACCATTGGTAACCATAGGTATACTGTCGGAATATCAGTTATCCTAAAAACATTAAAATATGTTTTTGTAAGTTTAAAGAACACTAATAAATACAAAAAAAAATCAGTAAACTTTTGTTTTTCTTAAAAAAATAATTCCAGCCTCAAAGGGTTATACAATTTAAACTAGCCAAGAAAACGGTTTTTAGTGACAATCAAAACTCGTATTTACATTGTATGAGTTGCTTGAGAGTAAAGAAGCTTGAGACATTAAACCATTAAATAGTTAAGTTGTATAAAAAATCAATTAAACTAAGTACAGTTTACAATTTAACACAAACTTAGGAACAGCAAAAGAAGCATGTGATTACTATTCATGTAATTTAAAAAGTATTTAGAAAACTTATGTAGAAAAACTAGTATTCGCCGAAAAACTAACAAGAACACAAGATTACCCTTCCAACAATAGCATATTAGTTTACTTTAATTTTAACTTTGGGTAACATTATTAAAATGATTGTAAAATTTTGCTGTAATAATCTTATAAAAAATGTAATGAAAACCACAAAATCAACTAGGAAACTAATTTCTTGTAGCTGGCTGTATACCATATATCACAAAATTTTTTATTTCAAATCCTTTATAAAAGGTACATAATAAAATGCCCAAACGGGCTATCACAATTACATTACAACAGAACGGTTTCGGATTGTTAAATCCATCATCAGTGTAAACAGGGTATACATGCTATGAGCCATCAAAATATATGGGTCTAAACCCATTAAATGTTATAAATTTACAGTTGTTTTACATTATATATAGTTACAAATTAGGATGTTTAAGTTACCGTTGGAACTGGTAACATGGCGAATGACTTGCCCAATTTCATGGCTCCATGTAAAATAGTTTTATTTACAGATGACACTACTTTTGTTTTTTCTGATAAAAATCATTCAGTTTTAGAAACAACGTCCGAGTATGTAAATTCCAATGCTCAATCATGGTTCTTAGCAAATAAACATAAACTAAATGATAACAAAACTCAAAATTTAATTTTTTCGTCTACCTTCGATGTGATTGTTGAAAAAAATAATGTCAAATTGTTGGGCATAACAGTTGACAACACATTGACCGGGTATAAACATGTTGATCATCTAAAGGTAAACTTTCCAGTACTTTATTTTTACTCAGACAATTAAAAATTGTTACAAGTATTGATAACTTAAAAATAACATACTTTTCTCTTTTCCATTCATGTTTAAGCTATGGTGTTATTCTGTGGGAAAACTCTTGTAATGCCCTAACAATAGTTAAATTGCAAAAAAAGCAATAAGAATAATTGCAAAAATTAGCTACTTGGAATCTTGCAAACCGTTGTTTAATAAATATAAGATAATGCCCTTGCCAACATTATTGCTATACAGCGTTAATGTAGAAATACCTACATAAAAAACCCTGATACTTTAATTAAACACTCTGGCTTACATAACTATAGCACAAGAGGTGCAAATAACATCAGAACAGTTAAGTATCATTTGAGTAAATCCCAAAAAACTTAATTTACTATAATATATACAACGTGCTACCTGAGGAATTAAAACAACTTTCGATAAATAAATTTAAAGTAAGTCTGAAAATATATCCTTTGAGATTTGCTTTTTACGTTGTTAGTGAATACTTTGATCACTTTAAGGCAGTAACATGAACATGGATGTACTCACTATGTTGGTATATGTCTTATTTTGTATATTTTATGTTATGCGCATTAATCTATTTTCATGTCCTATTGTATTTTGTGTATGTTATGTATTCTCTTTTTTACTTATACATATAATTGACTTGCTATAAACAAATGTAAAACTTGTAAACGTAGGTAAATACATACGTAGACTTCTGTATTAATTTGAGGTTGCCCTGAATTCTTTTCTGTTGAGACTAACTATCATAATAAAGCTCTAAACTCTTTTGCTCTTGAGGTTGTGTAGGATGTAAGTTAAATCTTATTAGAATTTCACGTAATAATACTAAAACAAATCACTTAAAACTATACTGTATTGAAGTAAAAAGGCACATGTAAAATATGTTGTAAACAATAAATTTAAAAATAGCGTCCTTAGCGTAATGATGTTGTGTTGAGACTCGGGTGTGGACTGTATATCTCTTCTCCTCGTCACTACCGGTATCCCCTCTCGAGGGGTGTAAAATGAACGTCGGGTTGTACTTAACTAAAGTGTAGTATACGTGGTTGCTCGAAAGTTTTAACAGAGGTATTCTGTATATTTTAGTTCATTTTTCTTTTCTTTGTCTGATTATTCTAGTTCGTCGGGTAAGCATCTTTATGCAAGCTTGATTTTTATCTTCTGTTGCATTCTTGCATTCATCGTCAAACCAATTATTTTTACGGGTACAATTTTCTGTTCCCATTTCATCATTCTCTGCGGCTTCAACGTCTTCCTTTATTCTGGTCCAGTTGGAGTCTATATATGTTTGGCCTTCTTCATTTACATTTTGTTTCCTAGGCCTGTTGGTGATGTTTTCCGAGTACTATTGTTTTAGTATGTTTGCGCCTTTAAAACTTCTACAGTTTATCACGTCTGTTCCGTGCCTTGAGTGAATAATCTGACTCATTGTTCTTTCATTTGGATAGGTCCAGTTTACTTTGTGTATGTTATTGTGTTTAAAATAGATGTTAGCTGCTGCCATACTTAGTGGTGTTAAAATTACTCGTAGTAAATTTATGTAAAAAGTGTTACTATGGATATCAACGATGTATGCACTTGGTTTAATAATTATACAAACTCAATAGTCAGGTCAAAACGTAAAGATAATAAATAATTATCAAACTATGATAAATGCAATAGCCAAATAAGTGAAATTAAAGAAACAAAACATGTTCTAAAAAAATACCGGGCACTAAAAAACAACAAAGCACTATAAAATTGTTTGTAAATATGATGTAATTATAAGTGGTAAAGAGCGACAGATTATGCCAGTTGAAGAAAACGCTCAGTCTAAAGTATATTATGCTACAACTGATGAATTATTTGATATGATTCATAATGCGCACTTAGCAATTGGGCATGGACACGACGCAATCGTTTGATTTGCGAAATAAATAAACTTTATTGTAATGTAACTAAAAAACTAATAATGGTTTACCTACGACTTTGTGTGTAGTGCAGAAAAATAGTAGTAACCCAAGTGTTTGGAAAGTATGTATTATTTTGTTTCATATTTTTGAATTTAATATTTTTCTGTTACGGTACTGTAATGTAATCTAGTTTAATGCTGTATTCTAACGACTTTTTTAAAATATAATACTTCCTGGTATTTCGTGAAATTGTTACTGGCTATCTCATATATTATGTTAAGTACGGAGAATTTGGCTTCTCTTTTTTATTTTGGGCCAAAATTATACACAGAAGTATA